TATTACGTATTGTTTGTACTTTTTGTTTGTAATTCTCAGTATCAAGACGTAACGTTTGTACTTTTCAGTAACCTTATTACGTATTGTTTGTATTTTTCAGTAACCACACACTTTACTCTATCCCATCACCACTACATGACGCGGCACAGTGCCTCAAGTCACATGGCACACAGTGTGAGCAGCACTTAAGAAAGGTGAGTATCCATGGAAACACTACATGCAAACCTCATTTTTTGGTAATTCAACATTGTTTACGTTGTTTACTTAGATTGAGGCAGCTCTGCTGAGAAACCAATCGCCACACAAGAAAGTCGCAGAAAATGCTTACAGACTACAACAAGGACTTCTGGTCGCATCTACTCAACAGCAGGTAACACTGATAACGTCACTGCACATACATATGACGTCATTGATGTTTTATGACTTAACGAAAAAAATTGCTATATTTGATGGATAAWCCCTGGAATACTGATGACGTCATTTCATGAATATGATATAATGTCAAGGAATATTTATGTGACGTCATGTGTAAATGACGTCATTTGATTGCTGGAAAGACTTTCCAGGAATTGAGTGCATTGCGAATGAAAACCTTTCCTTTTTTCAGGTTATTGATCGATTGATTGTCCATCTGCAAGACAACGTGTATGCTCTTAGAAAGTCCAACGATGACAAGGTTCAGCAAGAAGTAGGGATAGCCAAGCATTACATCCAAGATGCTGACAAACTTAAACAACTGCTGCTCAAGTTTCATATGTGTACAAATGACAGTGATATCGAATCTGAATTTACAAAGCTGTCTGAGAAGTTCTATCAAGCTTCGCAAGACAAAATTAAGGTTTGCTGGTGTCTGCAAAATGAACATGTTGTATGTTTGGTTAATTCACCTTTAAAAAACCTTGAGTTCTGATTGACAATGATGATGGTTATAATGATGGCGATCATGGATATCATTGACGATATTAGTAATGATGGTAGTTGTAAAATATCAAATCTTCAAATATCATCATGATGATACCATTTGATAATCAAACAAATCTATTGACAACAGGATAATTTTGACAAAATGCTGCAATGTGCCAAAGAAGTATGCCCATACATCACAAGCAAAGAGGTACTTTCTCTTTCTCTAAACACAAAGAAATCTTTGTCCACATCATATACKTGTCTTCTAGTTACAAGACCTCATTTGCATTTTTAGGATGTACAAGAAAACATGACATCGATTTCTACAACCAACGAAAAGATCACGCAAACGTTTGTCGAGGAGGTGGTCTTATCGCARGCTGCTGCTACGATACTCAACCGAATCAGGTGAATGTCTGTTTCACATATTATCTTTGATGCAAATCCACAGAAAAACTAACAGGCCCTTCTATTTTAGTGAAAACAAATTGTCAGCAGCATCTGTCATGGCAGACACATTAATGGACATGGTCATCCGACACATGGAGACGAGTAACGTCCATTTGGTGAGTCCTTCCACTACTACCTTATTGACACTTAATCGCACTCTTCTATAGTCCGGTCTATAACCCCCCTCCCCCCTCCCCCTCCTCCCCAGACTCTTAATCCTACTTGACAGTGTGACAATCAGCCAGAGTCGTCAGTGATGAATATTTTGTCCATTGCCTGTGAAAAGCCGTTTACCAACCCTTCCCCTTCTCCTTTTTCATTATTGTTCGCTCGATATAAAATCTATCGTAATTGGTTCATCGTTACTTTGTCACGATTGGTTCTCTGCGCATATCAATTCAGTTTATYAAGCAATSTGATTGGTTRCTGAATTCAAAGGTCAACTTTTTACCACAAAGGTGTAAAATCAAAATCAAGGTGACGTCCAAACGAAYTATCTGCTACTAACTCTTCCCCTGCTACTAGACTACAAAACTTTTCCTTTCTATAGCTGCATGCAGGACAGGTAAATAGATCTCATGGACCTGACAACACTGTACARAAATCTTTTATTTCGCATTGCAAGAGTAACACATAATTGACAGTYTTGATAGCATCAAAAAGCTTTCATTTCCAAGGCAARGATTCAGAAAAGCAACGATATTTTRAGATTTAGASAACCAAGAGCAATAGGGCTCMATAACTCGGCGATCTTAGTGTTAAAAACACTTGAAATATGTGACGAGGGAGTGATAATAACTGGCTTTAATTGCTAAATCATGATGCTACATTAAGTTAAAATACAGCTTTATTGGATATTTTCCGGCTACTTTCATGATAAATTATTTCTTTATTTTTCACATATTTAACTCTACTGTGTCTGTAGCATTTTTCTATGCGTTTTAATTTTTTTCTCCTTTCAAGCAACACCGTTACGTCACGCAACTATTCCCTTTGATCCAATGTTTAGTCTAGCAATCTATCATAATGAGATTGCGTTACACGTAATAACACTTGCAAATCAGTATGCCCTTTATAATAAGGGCATCAAAGGGTTAAATCAAAGTAATCGAAGTGCCCGTGTTAGGGAGATGGCCGTATTATAGAAGGCTCTTTTATTGACGTTTTCATTTGCTTTTACCTCAATATGACCGTACTATGGAGATGCCCTTATTACGGGGGTTCTAATAATGTGATGAGTCTTCGTGGACAGTTCGTATTATGAGGGTTCARATAATACGATGTATGTTGATCATTTCCATATCACTTAGTGCTTATTAGGAGGTTTTATGGAACTTGTTTTGTGTCCAACTTTTCCAGGAACTCCTTCTCAAGGAACATAGACAGAAGCAAGCCAAGGCCGAGGACCAGGATAGTGGACTGGATACCACTGATGACGTAGTATTGGTATGGAAAACGTTTTCTTTTTATACTAACGGCTAAGCTTCGGAGATTTTTACTTAATGCTAAATACAAGTGATGCGACATAAGATTTTAACGAAAGTCGATCTGTTATTCTTCGTTTTCAAGTTACGTCACGGCGGCCATCTTGGAGAAACTTCAACAAAGGATTTCTCATTACTATCTATTGTTCATTCCTCCAACATGGCCGCCGGTCTTCTATGTTTTGGATTTCATGGAAATGGTTGAAAACGATCAATATTAGTAACGTAGAATTATTTATTACAAAGCTGCTTTACCGTGATTATTACTCCTGAGCTGATACCAAATCAGCTCACTAGCTTTATAAGACAAGATGGCGCCTCTTTCATTTCATCATGTCAAATCGAGGAAGCGTYCCTGTATATAATTTAAATTCCCAAAGAACGAAAAATGAGCTTAAGATTTTTAATTAAGTCTACTAGTTCATAGTTTATATAACATCACCTATAACAGTTTTAGGTCAAGGAGTTTGAAGGCAGAAATACACCAACAGATARAATGCTCTTTCACTTTTTAGGAATTGCGTGACATGTTTCAGCTCTAAAYAAGAGAAATGTAAATTCAGTGAATATTTAGTAGATATTACCCGCAGTATTCCTATGAGTGGGTGGTCATCTCCAGTTTTCATATTAAGTTTTCTATTTGTCTGCATGCTTTCTCGGAAAAGTTTCACAGAAAATCATGTTGAGATTTCACTTTTGTCAAGTTAACGYCAAATCTTCTCTGTTGAACAAAAAGAGAAAAGTGAAAGAAAACTACGATGTAAATTGAACTTTTTGTATGGAGTATTGAAAATATTGCAACCTACGATAGTTTATTTCTTGCTCATCTTTTCAGGCCGCTAGAAAAGCCAAGAACCGTCTGAGCTCAGCAGCATTGGTCTCTGGAGATAACACAGAGGAGGTTCCCAAGAGCCACAAGCGACGACCAACAGTCAGCGTGAAGAAACCGAAATCTTCAAGTATTACTGAAGAAAATATCGAGGTGGAAATTGAGGTGGATGATGCGCCAAAGACTGCAGAAGATGGGGAGGTGAAGGAGAAGAAAGCTTCTCCAATGGTCTCCAAGAAAGCTTCTCCAATGGCCTCCAAGAAGGCTCCAGTTTCTTCCATTGATCTTGGTAAAGCATATTGCATTATTGGCTAATGAGAGAAATAAGAACAAAAAGCAACTCACTTCAAATCAATTCTTTTCGCTACGCTCACTCGTGAGATATATTTTCAATACTCGAAGAATAAAATCCGTATCTCCGCGCGGCCATGTAATATCCTATATTTAACAGATTCTATTCTTAATATACCTAATTGAAAACGTTTAGTGTCCAGTGAAGCTGAAGCAACGTTAAACGAAACCCAAATAGTCAGATGTCACAGCAATTCTTTTACTTCTCTTCTGCTATCACTTGTGTTTCTTCTGATGTTTATCATGTGTTCTCTCGTAGATTTCAGCGCTGTTGAGCAAAATAGTGGTTCACTTGACCACTTAGCCAAATCTCGTCCTCGTCCAGCTCGTGGTCGACGCCTTCCTACCCGACCATCCAACCGACCACAAGTGACCAATGGAGTTGATAAAGAGGAGACTGAGGAGAACATTGATAGTTTCTGGACCGCACCCACCGGGAATGAGTAAGATTGTTATAGATTTTTAAGAATTTTGGTCCATTTCAAAGATCGGTTTTGTTTTGAGTCGAACAAGTCGTCGTGACTTATTTTCGTGGGTCGAAAGACATTAACTAACATARGACGGCACAATATGTAGTACGTGACACTTTTGATGCTTACGTTTCATCATTTTAGACCTGTGAAAACAGAAAACAAGTCAAACAAGGCAGCGCCACCTAGGCCCACTCCACCACGACCAGCRCCGAAACCCGCAACGAAGCCAAGACCCGCGGCAAGACCAGACGTAAGTTTACGTTATAACTTGAARCTACGTATTACGAGTAGTGACCAGAAGCTACGTAAGACTGAAGCAGGATGGGACGAAATATCTTACGCATTGCGTTTTTTATGGAAACATAAAAATATGTCGCATGGAAATGCGTAAGAAAAGACGTTAAAGGACCGCAACTAAGACCATACCATCACTTGTATGTTTAGTATCATACCGTTGTGTGACCATTTAGTGACATCATTGCGTTACATCATTATGTATGCATACGTCATATATTTGCATGTTTTATTTGTCTTACATAAAATGACTATTCACACTACAGGAATCGGACGAAACTACGCCCGAAAAGGACGATAAGGTATTGCATGAAACGCCATAGCCAGTCACGCTTAATTCATGTAGTAACGCTACACTAGAGTCACGCACTGCTACTTGCGCACTAGACTATTAGTCAAGTTAAAATTACGTCACTTCATCATTATCTGATAAGCAATGCTGTACACCTATTATCTACCAATCATAATGAAACCACCAAAACGTAACACAGTCACGGTAACGTAAGATTATTACTAAACACTGTCAACTTTTCAACCAATCCAAGTCTCTAACATTAATAATTGAGATCGTCAACTCATTCTTGTCTTCATGTCTTATCGTTTATTCGCTTCTTGTTGTATTTCATTCTAATAATAAAGGAATCATCTTGTAACCTTTTTTCCGAAGTACTTCTTTGTTTTAATAACTTTTAATTTTCGAATTTAATTCTAATTTTTATCCACTTGCTTTCACGTTTTATAAATGTAAATGAAAGATATTGCTTTTTTATTGATTTTATGATGAAAAGAATATGTTTACCGCCGCTGGAAGTTCAAGTCGCCTTTCTATTATCGTTGACATTCGTTGTAGATTTTAGAACTAATAYTTTTGGGGCTTTAATCTAGGAGACAAAGAAACCTGGTTGGATTCCTAAAGGGTAAGACCTTCAGTTCGTCAATCATCATTATCAAATATCATCATCATCATCATCATTCGAACTGACATAAGTCATTACCATCATCATCATCATCATCATCATCATCATCATCATCATCATTCGAACTGACATAAGTCATTATCATCATCTGACCATAGATTCAATGTTTGTTTCAGTGGCATCAATCTTGGTTTGCCAGGATTCTTCAAGAAGAAGAGAGACCGCTCAGGATCTGGGAACGAGCTCGATCATACTGGTACACGTTGGTTTGTTGATGATAAAAATACAGGTGAGGGGGGAGGGGAGAGTAGCAGAGTTTTGCTAACTGGATATAAACGCTATAAACCATGCTTTCATAAACTAAAATGATAAAGTATAAAGCTGTTAACAAYAAATTTAATGTTAATTTTCAATATMTCATCTTATTACAATATGTATTTGAAAGAAATAAACTGTAATCACTTGAACCGTATAAAGTCCCTAGGTGGTACTATACTAACTTATATATTTTTATGAAGCGAAAACCAACCTACATCATRTAGCATTTTAATCCTAGGTCACGCATATTTTAAGATAAAAACCTACCTAAATAAAGAATTTAATTCACCTCAGTTAAAGCCATTGCAAACGTAGTTTAAAAGAGGCATTTGTGATAAATACTACTGGAAAGTCACTATAATATCAAACCTAAATAAGCCTTAAACACATAAGCAGGACAACAAGCTGTAAGATGATCAGATCTTGTCTTCATAACCTAACCTGTTTGTCTAACTTGTTTTAGTGGACACTTCTTCCTCTTTGTTCCAATCAGGTAAGCCTGGGAACGMCTCCGAATACATTTAGTTACTGGAGATTTGTGAAAAGGCTCCCTTAGGTTTTTCAGAGACTCAACCTTCAGGGTTTTAATAAGTAATCTTATAGGAAATGTAACGTTTTATAGATGTTTTAACCTTTTCTAGATTGTACTCTGCATCTCTTCGACCTCCTCTCCTGTCTATTCATTCTTTTAATTGCATGCTTATATGTCGTTACTTTTTGGAAGTGTCTTCTTGTTTCTTACATAACCTGTGCTTATAATGTTAACACCGATTTGTTTGTTACCGTCTTGCCCTGTGTTATAAATGGGTGTCGTAATCTTCCATACACCCATGCACACACTAACACACGCCTTTTACATCAGTGAAATCGTCAGACAAAGACAAAACATCGCCGACTCCCAAACCCAAGGAAACAAAAACACCCAAGGAAACAAAAACAAATGCACCACCACCTAAACCCGCACCACCACGAGAAAGACCCACGTCAGTCCTTCCTCCTAAACCAGCCGTGAAACCACGTGATCGCACTGGAACCGCGCCTTCKTCGCGTGGACGAGCRGGATCTGGTACTGTAAATGACGYCGCAAAACAGGAAGTTAAGAAGGARGAGAAGAAGGAGGAATCTAGCCCAGAAAAGTCCGCCGCACCTCGTGGACCGCCAAGGTTTGGTATTGGTCTTGGTGGAATGGCAGGCGGAGGATTATTGGCGGAAATGAAAATGCGACAAGAGAGAGCTGGCAGCGCTGGAAAGGTATGACATTAGATGTTCGTTAGTGTATTTATTTGTTTGTTTGTTTACGATAAATGTTCTCTTCCAGACCCCACCGGAGACTGTACCCAAACCTGCAAGACGACCATCTGCTGAAACACGGGTAAGACCTTAAAATTAACCTAAAAAATATAACTTTACATGTCTGACTCTGGATGGTGMTGAGTAGTTGTTGCTATTTATTGCTGTTTAGTATAGATATTTCTTTATAGTGGTAAAGCACTTTTTTATCTWGATTTATCTTTCCTCTGTTTTTCAGAATAAACCTGAGGTCGTTCAAAAAAAATCTAAAGAGGAAGAAGCTCCAGYCACTCGTCGACCAACAGGCGAAAGTCAACCCCCTGCGATYAGCGAGGAGGGCTTGGTACGACCATCGTCCATCAAGAGACCACGAACATCATCTCAAACACCACCAAAACCTCAACCCAAACCCAAGGACAAGGAGGACGGCGAAAATAAACATGACGACAAAAAGAAAGAAGAGAAGAAAAAAGAAGAGGAAGTAAAAAAAGAGAAGGAGAAAGAAGAAATGAAAAAAGACGATGAGAARAAAGGAGCAAAAGTAGAAAGTAAGACTGAAGCGTCCCCAAAAGCTGTGCTGAAACTTGGCGAAGATATTGGGGAGAGCGTGGATCACAGCGAAGTCAAGAAAACAGAAAAAGAAAAACTTAAGCTTAAAGTTAAACCAGGTTAGTGTTGGATGTTGGGTAATAACGTGCTTTAGATTGTATTCTTTCTAAACAATGGCTTTGTAATTGTGTGTATCACTAATAGCCCAAGGTTAGGGAAACAATGAGAATATATGATTTGTGGGGTCCATATTTTGGTGATTGCTAGAGTCATTTGACTGTATAATTGTGATAATTATGGGAATGGTTTAACCCCCCCTCTTTCATTTGACCCACAGACGAAACAGACTCYGAACCTTGGGTGAAACGAGACATGCCAAGCCCTAAGCGAAGTCCTAAATCGCCCAAAAAACCGCTTGCTGTAAGCACATCAGAAACACAGAATATTAAAACAGAAACTAAACCAATGTCACCCATTACTCGTGCTGCTACTTTACCTAAACCCTGGTCACCCAGTTCCTCTACCYCCCGGCCAAGAAAGTACAGTTTTGATGAGAAAAAGACAGAGAAAGACGTCGTGAAAATGGAGAGAGCGAAAAGTATCAATGAAGAAACGGTTCAAGACAAAGTAAAGGACAGCGCTGATGATAAACCTGCTTCAGATGGAATTCACAAAAGGTRAACTGATGGCTCGTGTAGTCGTTATCTGTTTTTTATTATTATCATTGTTACTATCATTATTCTGATACGGAATATTGCAACTTATTTTTGTGTGTATTACAGTACCTCACCGTTTAAACTGTCCAAGAAGTCACCCGTRAAGCAAACGAACAGCGAGACGACTACACACGATGACGGTGAACACGATGAGCTATCAGACGACCTCAAAGACTGSTTAGACAAAGATACCAAATCAACAGACGAAAAGAAGCCAGATTCACCAGTTGACAAAGTCATAGACGACCCTTTGGGGGCGAGTGCACTGCTATCACCCGAGTCAAAGAAAGCTCGTCCCTTATCGAATGTAAGCGATAACACATCGCTATGACGGGATTCCTGTGTTAGTATTCTTAATGTTTGTTTGATAAATCACAAAATTCTCATTCAAGAGTCTTTTGCGGTATCAATCAACACGATTTTGAGCATTTGAAATCTGTAATTTGGCCAATGGTTACTGTTTTGGTCAGTCGTTAGCAATCTTCATTCATCGGTCCGGCCGTAGATTCTGGGTTTCTATCTTGGAAAATGAATTCCCGTCAATTTGAGTTCATTGGCACCGTTAGCATTGCGATCCACCACTAATATGGTCATTTAATGCCCGTTTTAACAAAAATTCGTAACTAATAATTATAAAATAAGTAAAAATATATTGTTTTATAAGTCTTATATTTACTGCAGCGCGAAATATAGTTTTTCTGATGAAAATTGCTGGTAAAAAGTCGTTTGTTATTTCTTTCTTGTACGAGTGAAATCAGTTAACGATGGTTGCTTTCTCCTGAATCTAGGGGAGAAGTTTGAAACTAAGTGCGCCAGTACGCATGCGTTGACTTAATGTATTAGCAATCACGTGATAAAAATGCGTGAGTTGTAGTTATAATTTCAATGAACACTGCTGTAAAAATAATCTATTTTGTATATCTTTTGATAGCATTTCATTTTCAACATCCATGGGTGTATAAACGTCAATAAAATTGTGTTTGAATTTTTACTTAAGTTGTTTTACTACTTATTACGCAAGTGCGCAAATGTTGGCTTTAACCTTGGGCATCTCTCTCTATATATATTAGGTCATACTACAAAATACCATAAGTTTGTAAGACTAATTTGAAAGCAGTGGTGAAGTTAGCGAATATTCAGCGAAAACCGCGTAAAGCAGAAAAAAATGTTTTTCAGAGTTTTTGAGTTCATACACATACTGCAAATGCTGATGTCGTAATAAGCCTTATTAGATAAAAAAGATGAAAAAAAGATTGATAAATAACAAAAGCACCGAGCACTATTCTTTGAAACTGCCGATGCGTCGAATCGGCTTACGTARCGGATAGATATTTTTGGCATTCCAAAACCCTTCTTCAAAAGCGGTAGGGAAAACCGATTCCTTAAAGAAAATCATGTGTATATGAAATGTGTTGTGTGTCATGATTTATCATGACATATATATGATATTCACCTCACCGGGTATTTGATTTGACGCTGGCTTTGAGTTTGGATTTCCTGTGTAATTTCTATTCGTTGCGGCTTGGAACTACTACACAAAACCGCTGTGCRAGACCACTCAAAACAAAAAACAACTGAATTCTGCAGTGATGTGGAAATTAGCGTCTGTTTTCACTTTTTATTCATTAATCTAATAGGCAATGCAATGCAAACAACGATAATACGACAGATTAGTATTTTAGTAATTTCTAGTGTATTTGTAGTTGAAGTTTACTCGTCGTTCAACGATGTCACAGACAAAGTTAATGTCGGATCAGTAGATGGCATACTAGCTGCCTTCGGTGACTTTAATGGCGATAAAACCACCGATTTATTTATAATATCTCRACAAGGTAAGGCTATATGGTGCTCTTGTTTGGTGAACTCTGGTCAGATGATAAAAATCAGAGATCAAATCATTTTCAGACTGAAATTGAACGCAGCTTCCACACATCAGCTGATACTATTTTTAGTTTATATTTTGTGGTATTATGTTATAATGGACAAAGTCTTTTGCTCACGTTTTTTTCAGGAAAGCAACTTGATGTTTGGAGTTGGAATCAGGGAACATTAAAGTTCARGAATTTTAGATCATTTGAATTTACAGACAGGTAATATGTATACTTTTTCCTCATCCTCCCCCTCCCCCCCCCGACTAAATGTACCTCCTCCCCTCCTCCCACCGGACACTTAGAGATTTGTTCCCAGATGGAGCAGCATCCTATGAAATACAAATATCTTTGATACCGGATCTCCCCAAACAAGAAATTTATCAGTTTTTGTACCCTCCCTAAATAGTTTATATGTTGTTTTACAACCCCCTGACTAGAATTGACAATTTTTCTTATTAATTTAATAGATATATAGTTAATGTTGCACCTGGTGACTTTAATGGCGATGGTTGTCTTGACGTTGCCATAACAACACAGGCAAGCCCACTGAATTYRACYAATCAAGAACCYAAGAAAGTGTATATTAGCTGGGGGAATAAAAACAAATTAACTACGGGTAAGACATGAACATTTTATGTTACATTTCGCTTTTATTTCTAACATTATTGAACTAATAATTGCAGYAATTAATTAATGACTTGTATTTTCAGTCAAGGAGTCATTTGTTTTTGAAGAGGAATTCAAAGATCAGCCAAGTATTTTAGAGTACGTTATGTTCACAATTTGTTTTTCATGTTGGACTGTAGTGTGTTTATGCTTGTATTATTCTTCATAGTGTAAATGGTGATTTTATTCCTGATTTGTTTGGYACAATCTACAATAAGAACAATGCAAGTCTTGAAAGAAGAGCCTACTGGATCTCTGAAGGGTTAGCCATAATTTTTATKTACTTTAAAATCTATTTTATTGATTCATGATTAATCAATAATTTATTCATTCATTTATTGGATCAACAGGTTCAGTTCTCAATTTGGTGTTCTATAGTTGTATTCATGGTTCCATTTATTTGTTTGTACATGTTTTATGGATTGCTTGATTACTTATTTATTTTCTATTAATTGCAGGAAGAACAAGAGTTTTGTAGTCCACCCACAAACAGCTAATTTCACAACAAAAGATGGGAAAATACAAGAATTACAGTTGAACCCAGTTAGAATACCCAATTCCAATGGGTTTTTAGATTTGACTGGTGACTTAACTGCAGGTTAGTTTAATTATTTTGAGTTGATATTTCATGATTCTTCCAAAGTAYAATCAATGACTAGAATGTCAGTTAATTTCTCTTAAAAAGAGGGAGTTTGCATTGCACACAGTTCAATTAGGGAGCGCTATTTAATGATATTTAGTGGAATAAAATAATAATAATAGCAGGAAGATAGTGCTCAGTGATAGAGGAGTGCAGTGGATACTTATTTAATACTTCTCTTTTCTCAACACTTGAAAATGCAGTGAAAATGCTCTTTAAAACTAATGTTTCCCTAAATCCATCCTTGTTAGTATTCTTAATGAATTTATTTTCTTGTTAGATTTGTTTGTGACTGCTGAGAACAAGTTTGAGATMTGGGAAAACCAGGTATAGTAGCATTACAATAGCCACCTTCATAGACCACTCTTGGTTTCCAGGCTTTGTAGAGCCGCTAGTGAAGAAGGGTTACATTGTAAACACTCACTAGATTAATCCTGTTTTTTAACAAATGTCACTTTGTATCTGTGTTTGATTATTAGGATGGAGTGTTGAAGTATAAGAGTCCTGACATCGCARTACCTAAAGAGTTTATACATGTAGGACAGTCAGCATTTGCAGACTTTGGTAAGTCAATTCATAAGATTGTCCCCCTTCCCTCCCCTGCCTATTAGGTTGTTTTCTCCCTTTATTAGGCTGCTTATATGTACATTAAATCTTTAAGATTTATTTACCATTTATCTCCTTTCATTTAATGTTAGTGAAGTTTTTTTTCAATAAAGTTTCATACAAAGTAATGTTCAACACATTTACATTTAATTGTTGTTAATTCAATTGATAATGTGTTGTTCACAAGATGGTGATGGTAGACTGGATCATTTGCTTCCCGTGTGTCTATCCAAGAACTGTGAACAAAGTGCAATMTTTATCTACACCAAGGACAAGGTAATGGGGTTCCTGTCTCAATTTCCACAGGGAACCCAATTTGTTCTAATCTTATGATTTATTAMTGTTGCAGTGGTCAACAGTTTTGGGTAGTTCTCATAAAACTTGGCAGTTTATACCTCCATCCAGTGATAGCAGTATTCCTAATGTCCCTACCATGAGCATCAAAATAGGTATAAAACTACTAATCCTTCCTAATCCTTTACATTGCACAGTTATCAATAAATCATCAATATATTTATGTCATTACTTAAAATTATTAAGTATGAATAATTATTATAATGGTTGATATACCTTAGGTGACTATAATATGGATGGATATCCTGATGGTCTTGTTATTGTGAATGTGTTTCCTTCAAGGTAATGTTATTTTATGATACTTCTTCATTCAGTAAGCAAGTAATATAATATTATCAGAACAATTTTTATGATACTCTCCAGAACTGGGCTAGTTCTGTTGATTACACAATTGTTATTGGAATAGTTGAACAAATAGATGTTATTAATTATGTACATCTACATTATTTAGRAGTAGAACTTTAACAAGAATCCCAGTTCTACTGGAGAACAAGAAATGTAATGATGGTCATAACTGTGTCAATGGAMGGACATTTGAAATGCAGTGGAAGGTGAATAAATACAAACAAACAGGATGGATGAATGGATGAATGAATGAATGGATGAAGAAACAGCAAAAAAAGTATTATAGATTGAATATTCATTAATGGACAGATGGACATAATGGGATGAAAACATGTTGAAATAGAATGAACAGAAGAGAAAAATTGAAACCAAGTACCAAGATAACTAATTCACACAGTAATATTATATTTTGTTTTCTGTTTAGCCCTTGACRTCACTAGAGAATGCTGTTGTCGCTACTTTCTTTGACATGTATGAAGATGTAAGAAATGTTTTTTTCATATCCTGTATTTTCTGYTGTTAATATTATTGATAAACATAAACCATGATTTGGGTGATGTTGTGATAGGGAACCACAGACTTCATGATAGTTACCAAGTCCAAGTCCAGGTTCCATCTTCATGCAGTCCACAATAATCTGTATGTAGATGCATCATTTCTAAAAATACTTGGTAAGTGRCATTTGTTGATCTCTTACTTAATCTTATTTATTGGTTTTTCCTCTCTTCTATTCAGTAGTGCTTCTTCCCTTTGTTCTAGACATTCTTTGGATAAGATCCACATAATGGATTATATTATAATCTATGCAGTATTTAGCTCTTATCAGGTTGATACTTTACCACCCTTTGTAAAAACAATGATATGTATGTTATTGTGTTGCAGTCTTGGGTGGAGCCACTCTTAGTTCTTGTTCTGGTACAACACTTGTAAGTATTTTTAAAGCTAAAAAGAAAATATAAAATATTTTTAAAGCTRAAAAGCCATTTTATGATAGAAAAAAATTGAAAACCTCGCGAGCAACAAAGAGTGTATTGCAAATGTGCCATTCTGAGTCAATTTGAAATAATATCATTGCAAGGAATCAAGGAGTTCATTCCTGAAGTAACCATAGTTAATGAAAAGCAATTCCACACCATTCCACACCAAGTTGATTAATATTCTACTATTGTTTTGTTGTATGTAAGCCCTATGGTATCAACCAAGCAGGACCGTTTGTAAAATACACTATGACAGATAAAGACGGCAAATTGAAGAAGGGATCTGGTACGTTGAAATCATGCCATTATTTCATTGCGCAAAATGGACAACCAAATCTTAAACGGTAGTTTAGTCTCCAAAATATATGGAGCTAGAGAATAATAGTTTCAGTAGTTTCACAAATCCAGYATTCTCATTAGCTACTGAACTATTATCCAGTTGAAAGTCCACTCGACCTCGCGGTACGTCTAATTCTTAATTATCACATCTCAAATTATGCAAGCTTGATTGATATCAGAACGCGCCTTTCTTAARGATTTCTCGGCATCCAAATGCAAACGATATAAGATATCGCATGCTTTTTGATCGTCATTTTCGACAAAATTTGCTAAAACACTCGCTATGCCACTGCTGCGGGAAGTCTGAATCCGGTTTTCTATGTTCTTCCGTGATAAACGAAGGTCGTCAATCAGTTTATCCAATTTCTCTTTGAGTGGGTGCTTTCCATCACAGAATTTCTTCATTTCYCTTCCACTTTCACCTTTTTCCAAGATCTTTTCAATGATTTTTAACATGGGAGCGATTTCAGTTTCCATGATCATGTAAAATTCGTTCATTTCAAACTKCACTGCMCCTAGGTCATKTCTGGCACCGTTGTAAAACTCGTATAGACCCATAAGAATGTTAAAGACTACCTTGATAGCTTTGCCAAAATTACTGCCCAGTACCGTCTTGATGCAATCTTTWCCCCRTTCAACTAAAGATCTAATGAAYCTGGATTCGGTACCGATATTCTTTGTTAGAGCCGTATTACCTTGTGAGAATCCAGGTGAAAGAATCAACAACAATGTCACTGAACCCAAAACTAWTGCAGTAATCTTATGCATGGKGAAATGCAAATAGAAAAGAAATGAACACTTGTATGGGGTATTTTCTTCCTTCTTTAGGCAAGAACAGATGCTTGATAAGACAAAGTGATGTAGCGAAAAGAAATTTCCCCGAATTYAGACTAAAATATCACCCTGTGATTGGCTAATCGCGATATTCAAATTAGTGGCCAAATCGCGTGGCGATCACYTAGTGGCTTGAAAATGATCAGCAGACTTGGAAGGGGAATCCCCAACCTTAAGTAGCTGTACGACGTGATGAAAAGCATTTTTAGTCTTGTGAAGTTCCCCTTCAGGTTATTTTTGCTTTATTACCACGTTTTCGTGCGCATGGCTACCCATGTCAGAAATCGTCCAAATGACCTTCTCTGTCTTAGCCACAAATCRTGCTTTRGAGACCAATATCCTAGTGCATGGAATCGGAAAAAGAACTATCTTTTTTAATAGTTAGTGAGAGGAACAGAAAAACAGCAAATACATGTATAAAGCGCCGTTAGTTAGTCGGATCATGGTCGTGACTTCAGGGGACACTTTTTGAAACGGATAAGGGCTTTGAAATTGTATATCTGGTCAATTTGATGGCGAGGTTTTGATTTGTTTTGTATTTGTTGTTGTTGTTGTTGTTTTACTATTTGTTTGTTTGTTCACTTGATTCAAACATTATATCCTGGTTAATTGCAGCGGCCCAACTTTCCCAGTCCAGTTATTTCGCTCTCCAGTCTCCTTACATTGTGTTTGGCCTGGGACGAACTCCAAACTTTGTGGATGAACTCGTCGTTGGTATGCCTCGCGCAAAAAACTCGGTGAGTTCCGCTTAAGTCAGTTAAGTTGTTTTGCTACTGCTGCTGATGCTGCTATTATTTCTGTTGTTGTTGCTGTTGTTTCTGGGTTTTTTTTTTTTTCATGTTTATTTTTGTTTCGATTTTACACAGTTGGGTTTTCCTCTTATTTCCATTTCCATTTCTTTTCCAGCCTCAACGAATTCATACTTGGCATCAAATTATTCCAAACTCTCAAATGATAATCATTCCTTAYCCTCCTGATAAACCAAATTCGTAAGTATACTGCTTTTAGCCCTTTAATCTAACCACCAACTTTTTTTAATTTGAAGATAAGTCGTATGACTTGTCACTAAAGCTCTAAAACCCTTGTTGAGCTACAAGTTGCAGAGCGTATATACCTGAGTYTACTWCCACAGCGTGCGCAAGCTCTCTTTTACATTTCTCTAYCACAGAATTCATCCAGTGTTAGTACGCCAGAAGTACTTTCAGAGAAGTACAGTTGTTTTCCCGGCTACCAGCTGATTATTGTGTKTTCTGTTCTTCTAGGTGGAAGACCAAACTCCTTGTAACACCAAGCAAACTTGTCTTACTTACCGCTCTTTGTTTGTTGGGAATCTGTGTTCTTCTTGCTGTGGTTATTGTTGCTCTTCATCTTATTGAAAAGGTAAGTTATCCAAACACAAATTATTGGATGAGGCTGAGTATGATATGAATAATTATACAGGTCGAAGTTCCTTTTCTTGCACAACGAAGTACAGATAACAGGCTSTGAAGTTCGCATTATAATTCTTGATATCATATGATAACAATTCAACAATTCTTTTATCACATATTAAACAAATAAACGATTCGTTTGTAAATTGCAATGAGAAGTTAAAGTATTACATACAAAATTGCTGTACATTGACGTGATSTAGAGAATAAACTGTTTTTCCTTGGCTAACCAAAAACGAGTGTCTTCTGATAAATGGATGGTATTTTCATTTCTTTCACTCTGAAAAATCATTATCTATTAATATTCATAATACTCTAGGGATACAAGAGTTGATAACCAATGCTGTTCATTGTATTTTCACAGAGAGCTGATCAGAAAGAGAAGAGAGAAGATGCACACAAGTTTCATTTCGATGCCATGTGATGTCCAGGCAATGTGATGTCCAGGCAGCTGGCCATTTTTATAATTACCAAATAATAATTTCCGATCCATATTACAATCGTATGTAATGATATGCCTTGGATATGAGGGTATTTTCATTGATATTTAATACAATATTTAAAATGGAAACATTTGTGAAATATAAGTTGTAAAAACTCCCTCTGAGGGGAGGGTAAGGGCTTATTTGCCTACTGGCGCAATGAGTGTAGATGATGAYGTCSACGCCTTCTCACTTGGTGTTTATAAACATMACTGTAGAAACTTTTATGGCGACARWTAATTTTATTTTGATTAAGTAATTTTAGGGAAACACATAATGTGGAAATCAGTTATTCTCSAAACTAGGTTCTAAATAAATTAATAAACTGCGTTATTGTAGATAGCACGGGCAATAGGRTAACAAAGTTCTCAGCCAATCACGAAAGTTCATTCTAAAAACTAAATAGGAATAGTAGGCTTGTCCAAATCAAAAAAATTGTACTCGTGGTTTCAAATATGAAATATCTATTGTCAATACAAGACCAATAAAAGCTATTTTAAGGAATGAAATGTTGAAAAATGTTAGGTTGATATTAAATATTAAAAAAAAATCAAAGACACCAAAATATACGGATAGTGTGGGCGTATCCAGGATCATTCATGATAGGTATCCATACATACATGTCACTACGACGTCTGAAGTCATTGCATTACGTTGACGGCAAACGGCTAACGACAGAGCTGAACCAATGACCTAAGAATTTCGTGCCYGACCTTGTGCTTTTGGTAGTCATTTGAAACAGCGGCTTTTCATGATTATGGCAACCTCAAAATAACCCGCTCTCGCGTTGAAACTGCAATGTTAAACTCCAAAAAAAGCAGATCACGTGATCTTTTCTGCCGTTTGTCGTTTGTCGTGAACGTCATGCTAAACCTCTACTAGTGTTTTTTTTTTACGCAAAAGAAACTCGAAGACTAATTTAGTCTTTAGACATTGGACATTGGATCTCTGCATTGGATCAACGATTAGATTTCTATTTTTGTAACTTGTTTCGTAAAATACTTGGTCTCCCTGTGTGACCCCCATCCACTTAACGCTTCTACAGTAGTTTCTATAAAAAAACTGATAAGAAGTTGATTGACTTCGACACGTGAAATCAACGTATAAAAAGAAACAAAAGGAAGAAAGAAAAGAAAAAATATTGCGAATAGCAACAAAAAGAATAAATGACTATACGTGGACTCGAACCCACGACCAAAAAATCGAAAAAGATATGGGACGATTCCCCCGAGACATTCTGTGAAGCTGAGGCGTCGAATCGACTTACATTCCGGTTAGAGATTTCGGCTCTTCCATGCTATCCCGATAATTGGTCCTAACTTCGCGCTAACTAAAAAGCCAGTGAGGGAGAAGCTATCCGGCCCCTAGACACTGATGGATAACCCCTTGCACTAACTAGGCAACTATCGAAAGTATAATGTCAAATTGGGGTAGTCTATTCGGTGAAAGTGTCAAGTGGTCTATTATTATGTAAATGAGTGTGGTCCAGTGGCGCGTCTTGTTAAGGCGCTGTTTTTCAACACACCATGAGTTGCGGGATCGAATCTCGTCCACCCATCAATCTTCCACTGTCAAATGATCTTCGTTTGTTTATTTGTTGTTTCTTTCTTACATATTCATTTTTTATATTTTTTATTTATCAATTGGCGTGTTTAACGGTAAAATAATTATTATAATTATTTTTTATTAGTTTTCTCCGTCCTTGACTTGCCACAGCTTTCCACAGACGGTTTTGATGGGMACCCTGTYTACTTTGTCCGATAAAGACCTGGAACGAGTTCCAGTTCACATGGYTGTCAAAATGGCGGCTGAGTTKAATGGTTTTTGTGTTGTTTTGTARACTGGAAAGATACCTTYTTACTCTAAATACTGTATATATATATTAACTAAACAACATGTATGCACTATACAAGCAAACTCATCCGCCATCAGGCGTCGAACACTGYGTRTACTGTAATTTCTATTCACCTAAAGAATGYAACTTAGTTGTTGTCGGCACAACTCAGCTGAGAGTATACAGACTTAATACACAAAAAGAGGTAAAGTTTGAATGCATGGAATAATATAAAGAGTTTTAATACTAAGTTTTGTTATTGAATTAATTTGTAGAAACCTTCGGATGATGATGATCCTTCAGGTATGCTATTATAATGTAATTTGGTTATACTCATTTCTCTGAGGTCACATGTGAAAACTAAATGTCATTGTTATTTGTACGGTACCTCTAGATGCTCCATCAAAGAAAAAGAAGTTGGAGCTTGTTGGTCAGTATTCTTTGTTTGGTAATATTGAGACCTTGCAAGCAGTACGTCTGATGGGAAACTCAAGAGATTCGTTGCTGCTTAGTTTTAAGGCTGCAAAGGTGAGACATCTTGTGCAGTACAGGTATATGTGTGCACGCCTTGAAAGAAGCATATGTATAAAATACATAATGTTTGATACCTTCAATTTATTCCTATTGAACAATGTTTGACATTCTGTATCAAATGTAATTTGCCAACAATTTATTTAGATTTATTGCCTGCTTGTCAAACATGTTGTAAAATAACATCAAAATAGTAATGGTTCTTAAGAAACTAATTTATAAGACTAAGGACAAAGTAGCAATTCACTGTGGTTTGTTTTTAGTTGGCAATCATTGATTATGATCCTGCAACACATGATATTAAAACTAGAAGTCTCCACTTCTTTGAAGATGAAAAAATCAAGGTAAAAACACATATTATAGTTAAAGTATGACTTTTTGTCCTTTGGCAAGACGATTTGCCTTTCTCAGTGCTTCTCTCCACCTTGGGAAATGGGYACCAGAATTGTTGGGGGTAAAGTAGGGATAGGAGAAGCACCCGCCCCTAACACTCTGGTAGACTACCAATGGAAGAGAAGACATTGTTGTTGTATCTGACTGTTGTCAACAACTTCCTAACTATGGTTATTGATCAGATGAGTGAATGTCATCTAACAGTTCCTTCATTTTTTATAAATTGTGCAATATTCGTGTTCTTTAGGTAGGAAACATTGTACAAGACAGATCCCCAATTGTAAGAATAGACCCAGAGCGACGCTGTGCAGTGATGCTTATTTATGGGTCAGAGTTGGTTGTATTGCCATTCAGACAGGAAGGTGCATTAGATGAACATGAACTTGATGCTGCAAGTTTGGGAAGGTAAGACTGAACATCTCTCTTTGATATTAAATATATGCAGTCTTTTTTGTGTGAATTTTACAAGTGTCATGCATTTAGGCTATATGCCAAATTGTCTTCACTGAGCATTGATTGTAGTCTATGTAAGTTATAATCCTTCCTTATAAGCTGAAAGTATTTTTTGATTCGATGAATAGGCCATTTGCATTACATGTATATCGTAACTTTACTACAACTACCAGAGAGGCTTGCACATTTTCATTGTTATTCAGATTTTTAATCCCCTTGGAGATTAAGAAAACAATTGGCACTAATTGCATTACAAAAGAAAGTTGGCAAAGCATTCTGATAGTTGTAGTAAATGACACCATAATGCATATCGCCTATTCAACTGCATTTCAATAATAATATATATGCTTAAATTTCTATATCTTTCTAGTGAACGTTCACCTGTTCTTCCAAGCTACATCATCAATACAAAAGACTTGGATGAGAAAACTTGTAATATTGTKGATTTACAGTTTTTACATGGTTACTATGAACCTACCTTACTAATTCTCTATGAACCAATCAAGACATGGGCAGGGTAAGATGAATGTTGATTGGTTTGACTAGAATCACATGTGGAGAAGTAATAATGTACATGTAGCTTATGCGGCCAAATACTGCTGTGTGATGGTGAATGATATTTAATGGTGGAGTCAAGCTTTCTCTGTACTACAGCATCATAATGCTGCTGAAGGATAACTTCTCAAGAATCACATGTGTTTTAAGAAAATGCTGGCTTACTATTGCTTATCTTTTCTTCTTTAAATACCAGGCGTCTTGCAATGAGAAGAGACACCTGTGCATTGGTCGCAGTGTCACTAAACATGTCAGAGAGAGTTCATCCTGTGATATGGCAGCTTAGTAGTCTACCGTATGATTCTTACAGTGTTTTGGCCGTTCCTAAACCCATTGGTGAGAGAATTATATGATATCCATGTTGATGATTGATGGTGATGATTGATGATGTGTTGTCATGGTGATAATCCCCAATATTAACCCTAAAACTAACCCCAAGGTACTTGAATTATAGCCTTCCCCAATATTAACCCTAAACCTAAYCCCAAGGTACTTGAWTTATAGCCTTCCCAAATATTAACCCTAAACCTAAAACTTTAAACTGGAATTTCAAACCAGTTTAAAAAATTTCAAACCAARGCACATTTCAAACCACAACATATACATGTACTGTAGTCTTCATGGTTCTCTCTGCCATCTTGGCATCAATGCAAGAAAAGGAGGGTTTGATATATTCTAAATTTTTATAATTCAATTATTTTCAGGTGGAGTTTTGGTATTCAGTACAAATGCTCTTCTTTACTTGAACCAGAGTGTACCACCATACGGAGTGTCTTTAAAYAGTATCTCAGAAAACAGCACATCATTTCCATTAAGTAAGCATAGTGTTTATTAATAATATATTTTGATTTKTKGGSCTGATTGTTTTATCTTKTGWTACTCCACCTCACTGGGCAAGTGTTGTAGCTGTGTTTACAGCAATGATAAAACACTAATCATTGGGAGGTGAGAAAAATAAAAGCCAAGTTAATCRCAGTCACTTTGAGTCCTGTAAAGATGGCTGTTTCATGCCTTGGTTACATTTAACAACCAAKGCAGTTAAAATAATTATAATGATCACTAACCATACAGTAGCTAGTGTCTTTATTGYGGAAATGTTTCACTTTGCATTKTACATGAAGTWYATTTTATGAATTTTCACTGCAGAACAACAAGAAGGAGTCATYATCAGCTTAGAGGATGCTAATGCCATTTTCATCTCCAAYGACAAGTTTGTGGTTTCTCTCAAAGGAGGGGAAATGTGAGGGTTTTTTCATTCATYYATTCATTCCAATATTTGTTATCTCTTTATTCAATCACTTATAATRTTATTTCAGTTATGTGGTAACGTTAGTAGCTGATGGTGTAAGAAGTGTTAGAAATTTCATCTTTGACAAAGCAGCAGCAAGTGTTTTAACCTCTTGTGTAAGTTATATTATTCTTGTTCTTTTTCCATTATTTTTTCTATATAAATCGTGTCTTTTTTGTAGATTTGTGAGTGTGGGGATGGATATTTATTCCTTGGTTCAAGACTGGGTAATTCTCTTCTAGTGAAATATACTGAGAAGCCTCAGGATCATGGTATGTTTGCCTTGTTTGTCGTACTGTAAAATTCATTTGGTATGGTTGTTACCCATTACTAAAATGATTTTATGGCAGTTTTTGATGGACTGTAGTACATATTAAAACCTTTAACTTATCTTACTTTTTGTTTTATCCACAGGAGATCTGTTTTCGCCAGGGGTGAGTAACATTCCACCAAAACTAAAATTGATGCTTGTGTCTCCATTCTCCAATACATTATAAAGGGTGTAAATGTGTATAACACAGTGTTTCCTCTCTTGCTCTCTCCATAACATCTACTGTATTTCTTTGAGGACAGAAATGCATGACTGTGCCAATCCATCTTCTGATTATGTGTGTTTTGGTTTTAGGTTGATCCACCAAATGCCAAGCGTCGTAGAATTGATAGTGACTTCACCTATACAATAGGTTTGTACATCATGTATCAACACTTATCACATGCCATTACAGCTGCAATACAAATGTCCTATCCGATGAATACATTTCTTGTATACTTTGTAGATGACATGGATGAGGTTGATGTGTATGGTCATGATGAGGACACCGGCGTTGAATTAACATCATATACATTTGAGGTGAAGAAACATTATTAACAAACATTATGCAAACACCAATAATATTCATGAGTAATAATGCATTACTTATATTTAATTAATTTTACTATTAAAGGTGTGCGATAGTCTGTTGAACATTGGACCTTGTACTTGCCTTGATATGGGAGAACCTGGCTTTCTGTCTGTAAGTTTTCTCAATTTTGAATGAATTGTTGTGTTATAGAAATAATTATTTTGCACTAGTGTGAAATCTGTACTGTAGATTGACATTTCTTTTCCTTTTTTTTTCATGCATCTCAACCTGTGATTTATCAATATAGGAAGAGGTGAGTCAGCCATGTTGTTGTTGTCAGCTATAAGAAGAAAGAAGAAAAAAAAAACAAGAGTATACTCTTTCTAATTTTCATACCAAACACAGAATGTTTCTGTAGTATTTATTAGGTTTTTTTCTCCTCATTTAGTTTTCTGAAACTGAAGATCCTGATGTTGAGCTTGTATCTTGTTCTGGTTATGGTAAAAATGGTGCTCTCACTGTCTTACAGGTACATTAAATAACACATCCAAAACTGCCATTATAATCAATAAGACAATGGATGTCTTATTTTGGATGTATTCATCTTTTTTTWACAATRCAATTGTTTTGTTCATAGCGAACTGTCAGGCCACAAGTTGTGACAACATTTGAGTTGCCTGGTTGTACTGATATGTGGACTGTTTTGTCTCAGGATAAGGTTTGTCTTTCCCAGTTCTTTTGCTTTTTAGTTGTAATGTATGCCTTTTGTATTCTCTTTTAATTCTTCTTGTTCTCTTTTCTTTCTTTTTCATTTCTTCACATTCTTTGTACCAATTCCTCTCTACTGTACAGTCCCCAACATTCCTTTACTTGACTCCTTTGTGCCTTTTTACATCCTCTTTACTTGAATTTGCATTAATTTATTATCTAAAATCTCTTTTTTTGTTTTTCTTTCTAGGAAAACAATTCACCAGAAGAATCAAAGTTCCATTCATTCCTAATCCTAAGTCGACAAGATTCCAGTATGGTTTTAAAGACTGAACAAGAAATCATGGAACTTGACAATTCAGGGTTTACAACTCAGCATTCTACAATATATGCTGGTAACCTTGGTAATGGCAGCCATATCTTGCAGGTTACACCACAGGGAATCCGCCTTCTTGAAGGAGGTTYGTATGTTAAGAGAKTTTCAACTTTACTGACAGATATRTTGGCTGTATYCCATACGTTTAGTTCATCTAACTCTCATTYATAACTGTGTTTTTTCCTCAGCCAACCAAGTGCAGCATATTCCGATGGATTCAGGTTTATCATCCATTGTGTGGTGTTCCATAGCAGACCCTTATGCCATATTAATGACARCAGATGGTTCTGTTATCTTCCTGGAATTCATAAAGGATGATAACGGACCAACACTATCTGTCACCAGACCTTCAATCAAGCAGGTAAAAAAGTTGTGAATGTCCAGTCAGGYTTTACAGAAACAATAGCACTTTCTCTGGAAAAAGCTTTTCCAGGAATGTTTTATTTAGAATTGTACACTTGCTCAAAGTTATGAATGAATCCTATGTTTTGTATTTTAGGGTTCTAAGATTTGTGCTTGCTGTACCTACAAAGACCTGAGCGGACTCTTGACAACTGAAAAGYCAGATACGGAAGAAAGCAATGTACCATCACCACCACCACAACCTGCTCCTAAATTGTAATTTTAAACTTTAAATTGCTGKTAGATTTCTATTCAAATTCAATAATCTTCATGTATCACATTTTGAAGAGAAGATTAATGATGAGTATGTAAAAGGTCTGACACYYCATTCCTTSCCACAATCCCAAAGCCGATACAACTTTATTCAAGTGTAACATTGTTGTAGCCGTCTGAGCATACARTACYAGTCACTGCTTCATGCAGGCCTCTACTACAAGTCCAGAACACTAAGTCATGTGTTCCTGGTATCTAGTGAGTGTGTACTGGAAATGGTACAAGTCAYTCTTGTGCTTTAATCTGCTCATAGTAAAGTGGTAGGAATTGGTGATACCGTGACTTCAGATGCAGATATCTGAAATCTTCTCTTGAAGACAGTATTCATGTGTATTAATGTATATTCCAGTTRTTGAAGCATTTTTGCTGTCCTCAACAGAAAAGAGGAAATCGATGATGAAGATGAGCTGCTATATGGYGACTCATCATTGCCTTTTGCTGTGGATACAAAAGAAACTACCAAACCATCAAARGCAAAGTATGTTGACACATCGTCTACACAATTATGTTTACGGTTGTTACTCTTTTTCTTTTTTCATTCACTTGTTTTCATTGATTTCCCATTTCATTTGTCCTTTCACTTATTCACTCATCCATTTATAAATAAACCTTTGATGATGTTCTATTTAGTGAACCAGTACCTGAAGTAAAAGAAGAACCAGTCAAGACCACATAYTGGTGTGTCCTGTGYAGACAGAATGGAGTCATTGAGGTCTATTCCTTGCCAGACTTTAAATTAGTTTTCTTTGTGAGAAACTTTAACATGGCACCAAGAGTACTTGTCGACAGCCATGATTCAAGCACAGGAACTAGGTGAGCTCAAATAAGGTTGAAAAAAATGAAAAGAAGGAAGGAGGGGAGCGAATAAAGGGAAAATGGGGTACAACTATCGAATACCCCGCACCTCGGACAACTAACGAAAATGGAAGAGAGAGAATAGGAAACGATGTGGACGAAAGACAGAAAGGAAATAGAAGTACAGCTAAATTCGTTTTGCTCCCACAGTTCCCAAGATGATGAATCCACTATGATCAAAGAAGTACTGCTGACTGGTTTAGGCTACAAGAAAAGACGGGTGACTCTTGTAGCCATTGTAGACCAGGACCTACTTATATATGAAGCTTTTCCATTCACTGAAACAGCTCTTGAAGGACATCTTAATATGCGCTTCAGAAAGGTGCAACACACTGTTTTGATCAGGGAAAGGAAAGCAAAATCGTCTAAAGAAAAGTCTAGCGATCCTGAAGGTACTAGATCACGAACAATTTTCAAGCTAGGAATAAAAATCCATTGCTATGGAACGTATTTTAATATGTAAATCATTTACATCAAATTTGCATCATTTTGGACACTTACATCATATTTGCATCAAATGATGTTTCTATCGTGTTTCTGCTCGTGCATTTATCTTACTTTTTTATCTTTTTTTAGTGAAGACCAAAGTTGCCAATCTTAGGGTATTTGAAGATGTATCCTCTTATTCTGGGGTAAGCTGAAATTCTTCGTAATGCAAAGGCCAACTTATTTCAACCTTTTTCATTTAGGAATAACCATATTCAACATCACTATCATACTTCCAGGTCTTTGTTTGCGGCAGTTTTCCACACTGGATATTTGTAACCAATCGCGGAGCGTTTAGATGTCACCCAATGAGCATTGAYGGCCCAGTCACGTGTTTTGCAGCTTTTCACAACGTCAACTGCCCCAAAGGCTTTCTCTACTTTAACACTAGGGTGGGTGATATCAACATAAATCATACATTGTCAAGAACATTACCAGTAAAAATAGCAAATTGTTTTTGATTTATATATTTTTTTTTTATTTTTTTCTTCAGGGTGAGTTGCGTATTTCTGTTCTACCGACTCATCTTAGCTATGACTCTCCGTGGCCCGTTCGTAAAGTCCCTTTGAGATGTACTCCACATTCTGTATCATACAATAGAGAAAGTAAGGTATGTATCTAAGCATGGAAAGCAATGATTTCATCGATAAAAGTCGCTTTGTATGAAGTATTCCTGTACAGGGAATGGCTGTAATGCAATGTGAACAATGACAAATCGCCGATTTTCCGGTGGTGGCACTCGGGCTTCCTTCTCAAGGTCCCCAWGAGATTTCATCTCAGTTTTKATGTTGTAGACATACGCTATAGTTACAAGTGAACAAGARCCGTGTAAACATATCCCAAGGGCAACAGCAGAAGACAAAGAATTTATCGATACCGTCAGAGGTAAGTCACTAATTGTAGCATTGAGTAATTAAAATATTTATTTTATTCGTTGAGGCGATATACACCGACAAAGGTTGTAGATTGTAGATTGACTTTCGTTTTAAATAAGAAAAAATGAWTTTTTAGCTACATAAAGACGAACATGAACAAGTTTAAAACAATGTTAATAAGTGTCAAAASTTTCTCTAAATATCAGTAAGTAGTTTTTTCCTTTCATTTCCAAGAATATGGATCACGGTTGAACTGTTGCGCATGTGCAAAGTAGAAAGGCAAGTGTTGAAAATAMACTTTCTTTAATGGCCAGAGTTTTTCGGGCTCAACCGATTCCGTGGTGTCATTACTGTGGAAGAAGGCATGTAAAGCATCCATTGTATCGAAGAATCTTGTGGTTGAAACTTCAATGTCACTGGAACAAAGACCAGCCTCGATGTCTTTTAGCAGCATAAGCCAYAGGGATCCCAGTACTTTCTTTGCTTCAGATTCAGTCTCATTGTGTGCTATGAATGCTGCTGTCAGCTCTTCGATTCCTTGTAGAAATCTAAAGATAGATCTGTGATTAAGGTTGAATAAGTCGTACTCTTCTGATAAGGTTTCTTCTAGTAGTTCTTCTTTATCTTGRRAAACTTTCTCCTTGGCGTCGTTGATAGCATCTTCGACTAGTGTCGCTGCRACGCTTGCAATGGCTGACTCCTTGTCCCATTYKCTTGTTGAWGGTTGATAAGTTTCGCTGGTATTCAAARTGACTTTGATATCATCCAGTTTTTCGTAAGAATCTAATAACTTCTTGTCATTTCCATCAATGACTTCCACGTCCTTGGATTCGACTTTCTCTGCGCTTTCTTCTTCGCGTTGGTCAACATATTTCTCTTTAGTAACTCGYARTTCTTCGGTTATTGTTTTCAGACGGTTTAGTAGGTTATCAGCTGCAGTATCTACGCTTGATGGTAACGGTGTTTTCTGATCACCATTCATGATTGTTTGCTMTTTATTTCATTTGAGAACGCTGCCAACTTTTGAAGTATTTTKGTCTGATACGTTAGCATTACGCGTGATTTGCGCGAGGGATGTGGATTTAATTTAGYGCGCGTGCATAAGTCGCAAACCTATTATCTTTTTTGCGCGAGACATGATCGCAGTCAGCCCAATTTTATTTATTTTTTTACATATATATTTATTGCTGAAAACAGAGATAAGTATAATGATATTCGTGAGATTTATTCTCACAGCATTAAATTGATGCGCAAGTAAAATGTGTGTTCACTTTGACAAGGAACGTCCCCATCTCGCATTTAAGTTAGACAACCTTGATTTCAGAGCGCGCGCACCTCAAAATTTGCACGCAGTTTTTCTTCTATTTTTTAGTATTCGTGTTTCATCCCGGCGTCATTACTCTCTTGATTTGAGTATTTATTCTTATTTCGTTTAGATTCTAGATTTATTTATCCTTCGATGGAAAAGTTCGCCATTCAGCTCATGTCTCCACTCAGCTGGGAGATCATCCCTAATACCCGGTAYGTACCCGAGGTTCTAATCAAATACCCATATCTATCAAAGCCGTGACGTCTTGTACTATCACGTGATTGTATTCCAGGTACGATCTYGATGAGTGGGAACATGTGACAACCATGAAGAACTTGATGCTTCGAAGTCAAGAGACCCACACTGGACGMAAAGGKTTCGTTTGTCTTGGTACGACCATGATGATTGGAGAAGAGTTTGCTAGCAGGGGGAGGGTAAGTAGATTTTGTCTCGTCTGGCCATTCTTTGTGTTTATATTGCATTCTCTCCATCTGCTCTATTCAAGTAAAATGGTATATTATTTCTTTTTAGATATTAATATTCGATATCATAGAGGTCGTACCAGAACCAGGACAACCGCTGACCAAGAATAAGTTCAAGGTAATCAATGAGATCGTCATTATTTCTTTTTTGCGCCATGACGTCCCTTTCACCGATGATTCTGTTTATAACGACAATAAATATGTAATCATTTACAGCTTCTTTATGATAAAGAGCAAAAAGGTCCAATCACCGCYCTTAATCAAGTCAATGGCTACCTTGTCAGCGGTATAGGACAAAAGGTAAGAARCGAATATGACTATATTTCCCTATATCTTCACTATTATTAATTGCTATTTTGGCTAATGAATAATAAAAAGATAATAAATTTGATAATTGCTGTTTGTGTCTAGATATACATATGGAATTTTGAGAATAAYGATTTGATTGGAATGGCGTTTATCGATACTCAGTTGTACATACACTCGCTAGTTACGATAAGAAACTTTGTCCTGGCTGCAGATCTTGTCAAGAGCATCAGTTTACTTCGACTACAGGTGAGTTTCACTGGAAATAAAAGACAAACAAACATTTTGACAAACGGACAGACATTAAAACAGACATTGACACTAGCTGGACTAGTATCTGGACCAGTAAACCTATCATTTGAGATGGTTCTTTCAAATATATATCATAATATTTTCATATTGTGTTTTAGGAGGAAACAAAAACGTTAGCGTTTGTGAGCAAGGTAYGATGTCATATTTACAGGCTATCAATGTAGRCATTATCATTATRTAATGTTTTTTTGATTGCGCAGGACCCTCATGCCCTCGAGGTTTATGGGACSGAATTCTTCATTGACGGAACTCAGCTYGGYTTCATTGGTAAGTTCAATAATTGCGAATCAAACGAAATGCATTTTCGAAATGCATTTATAGAGTTCTGCCTCCATAAAAGAATATCTTTTTCACTTCCATGAAAGGATATCACTTCACTTTCAAATATGGAGTTCTGCTTCCATAAAAGGAAATCACTTTCACTTCCATATAAGGATTTTTGTTATAATAAGACWTTTGAAGRTGACATTTTTTGTTGTTKTATTTATAGCAACAGATGCTGATCAAAACTTGCTGCTTTTCACTTACCAACCTGAAGGTAAGACTCCGTTGATTTTATTTTTTGTCAGTAATCGTTATCAACAGTCCCTATAAGGTATTCAAAATCGACGAGTTATTAAGCCGACGGATCTATTTCGTTGATGTTTGGATATTAAAAAAGATTTCTTTTATAGAAAATAATAATTTTATTTTAATTATAAATCAATTATGTTTGCCGCAAAGGCTTTTTACCGACAACTTAGTGAATTTTATTTGGTTAATGGTGTTTGTTTTGTTGAAGAGTGTCGTTTTAAAATGAYGTTGTTTATTAAAATACACTTCAAACAGGATGGAAAGTGAASATCATTTTMTATAACCTTCAATTAAGGTCTTMAAAKGAAAATTAAAAAATCGGAGTTCATTGAGGAATGGARCAGTGCAGTAAGCGGGCTGCARATGAGTTGTCCCAAACTCGTTTCTTCATGAWATAGKAAATCTTCAATCATATTTTATTGTAATGTATGACAAAGCTATGCTGGTCCACAACCTTTTTACATTTTACTTAACTTTTTATTCTCATGTCTACGGTAAATTAGAGTCTTCAATCTATTCAGTTATATCCTCTTGGAAAATGATTGTCATGCTACATAAGGTTTTTTTTAGGTTGTATATTTTTCAATTTTTTCAGTTTGTTTATCATCGCAGATCAATACTCCATAAACTCGTGTGTACATAGCTGTGTCGCCTTTAATATAGCTTGCGTCATTATTTATTTATTC